AGTGCCCTGACATCCATGGACTGGGGCACTGGCGGGGGCCATGGCAGTCCAATGCCAGCATGCTGGGTCTGTTCTTTGCTGACAAAAGTAAGACACAGCCAAAGTTGGAGGCAGGGAACACAGGAAGCCTTCACAGAGTTCATGGATCCTTGACCCCCTGAATCCCCCATGTAACCACTGTCAGGTCTAAGGGGCACCTGTGTGGGCACAGAAAATTCTTCCTTTGGTGGGGGGGCACAGAAAATTCTGGGCATGCAGAAGGCTGTGGGATGGTGTGGAAGCCTGGCAGATGATCCTGCCCAGCCAAGGATTCGGTTGGCACAGCAAAGCACTAGGCTTGTCCCCTGAGCATCCCCAGGGTGGGCAGGACAAACTGGGGTCCACCTTGTGGACCAAACCCAAAGACAAACTTCCCTGAGCTACACCCCCAGCCCTTTACACTTTTTAGTTAGAGACAAGGGTCTTGCCAAAGTTGGACAAAACTTTTTGAAAAGACTTCCTCTGATGATCTTATGGGAAAAGTGAGAGAGAGGCCAGATTTTAAATACATAAATATCCCTCCAAATAGAGCTGAAGCAAATCTCCTAGGGCACCACCCCTCCTCCCACTCTACAGTCTTGTCCAGCGGGGTATGCATAGGTCCCTGGAAGACTGTCTGGTGGCCTCAGTCTCAGCCCCTGGTCACTGTGAGCCTCAGGCTGCACGCTGCAAGGCCTGACTTCATCCCAGGCACAAGCCCTGCAGTCAGACATAGGAAGATGCAATGGCGCGTCTCCCGCAGGATTTTGTCCTCGTCAGGAAGGACTCTTCCTTGCTCCTTCAGTCGCCAAGTCTTCTCTTTTCAGCCTGTGCTCTTCTCTGAGCTGTGGCAGAAAAGACACTGGACATGGAACCCAAGTTTCTGCCCACCACACACCGGGTGGGGCTGTTTGCTCAGCTTACCAGGAGAAAAGAATCTGGAAGTCGCACACTCGTGAGGGCTCCTGAAATAAAGACTGGGAGCTGTGTGGGAGTCCTGGCTCCGTGCAGGTCACAGGTGTGGTTACTAC